AGGTCAGTCCGCGTTCCAGGGTCCCTGGGAACAGCCGCATCCGCGTCCTGGCGTCAATTTGTCCGGCTTAAAACCGAAAGTGCTCTGAGCGAAGTACTTGGGGTGACTGACGCCCCTTTTGACTGCAGTGGGAGTGCGGGGCGCGGGTTGTCATTCCTGCCCGCGTGAGATAGCCTGGGTGTCAGTAGGTACTTTGACAAGGGGAAATTGATGATAAGGCATTTAGGTGCCATTGCTACAACCACCTTAGCACTGCATCTGGAACCTTGGTCTTAGCAGGCTCCCCTGAGGGCCTACCTTTGTCCCTACCCATGCCAACAGTGCAGACCTTCCCTTGGACCCTTCCAGGTAAAGCCAGTCCCGGACAGTCCCTTGTCGGCAGGCTGCATTCAAGTCTCCCACTTGATGCTGGAGGCACTGGGATGTGGCCCTCCAGTTACACACGCTGGTATTGCCAGCTGGGATAAACCCAGACAGCCTCCACTGAATGCCTGGACACCCTCTACTGAATGCCTGAACATGCTCCACCAGAGTGCCTGGTCATTTTCCACTCAAGTGCCTGGACGTCCTGCACCCAACTGCCTGGACATCCTCCACCCAAGTGCCTGGACATTCTCCACTAAAGTGCCTGGACAACCTTCACTGGCCAGGATGTCTTTATCTGAGGCTCTTTAGCTTCCATGCCTGCAGGTCCCTTGGCTCCTGGCTCCAGCAACCCCATGAAAGAGCCCAGAGAAGCTCAGTTCTCCCACTGACCCAGAGGAGGTAGATGTGTGTTGGGGGGGGGGGGGGTGGTTCCCTGGGTCCACACACCCTCTGCCTGAATTGAGCACACCCTACCCAGAGTCCACTGAAGCACAGACTAGACCCCCCTCAGTGACACTCCACCCTTTGCCCTGCTCCCTCATTCTCCCTCCTTAGGAATCTCTTTTGGGGGTGGGAGTCCATGGTGGTGGAGGCAGGAGCCAGGGAGGCCCTGGGGCTCTCTGCATGGTGGGACCCCCATCTTCGGAGTCTTCATCTGTAAAATGGGAACAAGCAGGCTCTCCATATCACTGTGTAAGCTGAGTCTCTAATTTCCACTTCTCCAGAATCTTATCCCAGGAGCCCCGGGAGAGAGAGTAGGGTGCAAACCCGGGACCCACCGGATTTGATACAGCACCCCTGAGCAGAGTCAGGAATAAGCCCTGAGCACAGCCAGGTGTGACCCACTCCCACCTCCAATAAATAAAAAACAAAGTCCTACCCGCCCAACTGCAAATTCAAGGGGGCAGGTTAACTTCCCCGGGTGCTGAGCTTCAGGACCTTTATGTGGGATCCTACCTAATGAGGGCCATGGGGGTCTGGATGGATGGGTGGAGTCCAGATGGATGGAAGGGGGCAGGTGGAAGCATGAACTGGGAAGATGCCTCTGCAACTGGGCCTTGGCTGCCTTTCATTTTTTATTTTCCCTTAGATTCCTGGAGTCCCCCTTCACCCGCTTCACCTCTTCTCCTAGTTCTCCCTTGGAGATTCTCACGGGGCCAGCCTCTGCCATGGGGAGGGGGGGGGGTCTTAATTCTCAGGAGCTGCCCCAACAGGCAGACCCCCACACCTCCCCACCACCACCTTAGAGACAGTTTTTAGAAACCGATTTTGAGAGTAGAAAACCTTGGAGATCTCCAGGCCTCTGAAGGACCCCCAAGACCTGCCTCACCTTGGCTGACTCCCACCTGCTCTGGGGACTCAAGAGGCCCTGAATTCTGGACGACTTCGGTCTCCCTCAGATTAGCTAGAACTCCTATCCCGCCCAAGTGGATGTCTCTCCTATCACCAGCAACTCAGATGACAGGGTTGCAGTCACCTGGTTTAGGTATATTGGTATAGGTTTAGATATATCGGCCCTCCCCCCGCCAAAAATAAATAAAAGAAAACAAATACACACCCCCTAGTCCACATTTCCACGGATTTCGCAGTCACCTTTCACCTGGTTTGCCTCCCATTGGCAGCCTCAGAAGTACCTACCAGGCCCGGGGCCCAGGGGCCTCGCTGGGGCCTGGCTGACTTCTGGAGCTGTGTCTTGCAAGGAAGACAGATGCCATTAGCCGGGCAGAAAGTCCTGTTGCTCCCATCGGGGTGCCCAGCGCTGCCATTCTGCTGGCCTTCTGGTTTCCGGCCCCCATGCTCGTGTTCCCCGCTGCGCTCTCCCGCCTCCCGCTCAGAGCCCGCCCGCCGGGAAGGAGGATTCCTCGCTCCTTGGCAGCCCGGGGGGCCAGACGTGGCCTGAATGTGCGCAGGAACTCGGGAGGGGAAGGGCTAGAATGGGAAGAAAGACCCGGCAGGGACCCGGGAAACCGTGGGAGGTCTGAGCCCCGGAGTCCCGCGCGAGCCTGCCGGCCCGTTTGGCACCAACTTAGTCCCGGGGCCTCCAGGCGACCCAGCAAAGCCCGGCGCTGACACGCACCCGGCCTTTTGTGGGGAGAAAACACAAAGGAGAGGCTAGGGGGTGGGGGTGGGGGGAAACCAACACAAAGCAAAACACACAAAAAAGCCCCAGTCTTCCGTTTTGACGGAGGCGGCGACAGTTCCAGGATGCCCGGGCCAGCCAGGAACTCCCGGAGCGCGCAATGTCGCGGGAAGGGGTCGAAGCCAGTGGCGCCCGCGCCGCGGTGGGCACACCGGGCGCTGGGGACAGCTGCGCCACGTGAACAGGCACAAGACCAGGACGTGTGCCCGAGGGCCAGCGCACGCTCCAGTTTACAATGATTTCCGACGCGGGGAAATGCAGCGAGGGAAGTTGAGGACAGATTTGCTCTGGGCGCTATCACGCCTGGGGCACCCAGATCTCTCTCCGCCGCTTCTCTCCCTAAAACTTCTCCGGCGACGATATTGGGGGAAGTGCCGGGAGGAGGGGCCTGAACCCCAGAGCTGCGGGCCCCGACCTCCTGGCGCCGGGAAACGGGGGATCACGAAGTGCCGCAGCGCAGCACGGAGACTCCCGGGCCAGAGCTGCCGAGGTTCCTCGGAGCGGGGCTCAGTGCCTAAACGTCCTTCTGGGCGTCGATGCACGCGGGAACCGGCGTCCGCGACTCCTCCGGACTCTGCCTGCCTTTCCCGGCCCAGGAGTCGCCCGGCGCCGCGCGGGCCACTCAAGCGGCCTCCGATTCCAGCCACAGTCGCGAAGCGCGTTAAGGACCGGGGACAGCGCACTCTCAGCTCCCACTCCCCAAGGCCCAAAGGAATGATCCTAAGAAGTGAACTACAAAAAAAAAAAAAAAAAACTAAAACAAATTAAAAAAAAAAAACCCCAAAGGAGTTCTTTCTGTCCCCCTGCCCCGCTCCCTACGATTTTTCCGTGTGAACTTCATTGAACGGTTATGGGTCATCCTTCTAACCGTTGGTGGACATATTCCACGCTTCAATTCTTCGTGTTTTAAATACATCTTTAACGGATGGCTGCAGAGCCAGCTGGGAAACACGCGGGTTAAAAAAAAAATGCTCCAGAAGGCATTTGACTGGAGTTTACGGGAAGGGGGGGGGTCGGGAAACGGACTTATCCAGGAACTTGGGAGCAACATCCTGCGTTTTCACTCTGTATTTGCCTTATTTTGCCACTTGGCTACTTGAAAGCAAACTGCTTAGTCAGATTGTTTGCTTTAAAAATTGTATATGCAAATTACAAGTTCCCAAGGGAGAGGAGTCAGTCCATGTGTAGCAGAAAGGACCCCCAAACACACACATGCACCGTCATTGTGCAAAAATAAAACTCTGTGCTAGAAATGGGATATTCCGCTCAGAGAAAAGATTCGAGGAGCAAAACCTGGCTTCTGTGATTAAGAAACATGCCGCTTCTTCCTCACCCAAGGCTGCGCTTCATAGATTTGGAAATGCTACCCTAGCCCCCCAACTCGTGTAGATTTTTTGCAGACATTGGCTCTAGATTTTTCCGTCTACAGAATGGGTGGATAACTCAGCATCTTTGAACTACCTCAGTCAGATACTTCTTCAGACCGGGTTGAATCCAGTCAAAGGTTCAGGGGTTTGAGAGTCAGGGTTTGGTTGGTAAAACGTGTCCAAAATCGGTTGGATTTCGAGCCCACGGCATGAAATCTTTTTTACCCAGATATGAGCGCTCTCTCTGTCTCTGTCTCTCTGTCTCTCGCGCGCGCGCTCTCTCTCTCCCTCTCTCCCTCTCTCCCTCTCCCTTCTCTGTAGACAACCAAGCGCTGCTTCTTACTCCGCACCTGAAAATGAGGCTAAAATCAAGGGCACCGAGGATCCCCGCGCTCACCACGGAGAGCGAGCCGAAGCATCTCGTCCCCAACTTGACGAAGGCTTGTGGGTTCTTTCAAAACACCTTTCGGGGAGTCGCGGCCCGCCGCCCCCGCGCCTCCCTTCCCGCCCTGAGCTGTGCAGAGTCCAGCTCCCAGCTGGGGGCGCTCCGCGCCGCCCGCCGAGTCCCGGCCGCCGCCGCCGGCTCGCAGACGCGCGCAACGGGTGCGAAGCCAAGAAACGCTTTGTGCCCGGTTATTGTTGACATGAGGGTGGGGGGTGACAGGAAGTTCCAAATGCCCACGTGTTGATGAAACATGCGAGACCTGGACTGGCGGCGAGACTCACCCCCCGCCAAAGAAAAGGGGGAAAAGAAGAGAGGAAATTTGGGGTCCACGCTCCTGGGTGGCCTGGGAGATGCGCGAGCATCCTCAGAGATGCTGGATATAGGGTTAATGAGTACGCAGCGTCCCCAGCGCACTCCCTCCCTCCAGCGGGACTCAGTGGTCACCGCCGTTTGAAAGGAAACTGGACAAAGTTTCCCTGCCTAAGGCCCGGGCTGCGCTGCATGCACTGAACTTCCCCCGCGAGTCCGCTCGACTCCGCCCAGCGAGACCCACACGCCTCCTCCTCCCAGCCCCGCCCCCAGATCTCCGGCCGCGCACTCCCATTGGCTGAGCGGGCCGAGGAGGCGTGTGCCAGGCCCGGGTGAGTTTCATTGAGCGGAATTAGCCGGGATGACATCAGCTTCCCAGCCCCCCGGGCGGGCCCCGCTCATTGGCGCGGCGGCCCCTCCAGGACCGGCACATTGTTCCCCGCCCCCGCCTCGGCCACCGCCACCGCCGTCGCCGCCGCGCCACCGGGCTATAAAAAGCGGCCTAGCCCAGAAAGGTGCGGATGCTTATTATCCATCAGCGCCCGGAGCCCGGTTCTCCGCTGCGGCTTTTGGGAACGAGCTCCGCGAATAGCCTGCCACAGTAAGTGTCCCCGCCCCGCCCACCCACCCCCACGCAGCTCCAGCCGACATCCCAGGGCAGATGCCCCTCTACACGGCGGCGACCCAGGAAGCTCTGATCGAGTTCACCCCCCCCCCCCCCACACACACACACACACACTCTCACAGATCACGCCCCTGTCCGCCAGCGCTCCTGAGCGGCTTCTCTGCTCTGACGCTCAGTACACAACGCGAGCATCAGTCTATCCATCGGTCCATCCATCGGTCCATCCATCCATCCATCCATCCATCCATCCATCCATCCACCCATCTATCCCTACCCCCCATTCCCTTTGCCCCTAGAAGAGGAGGTTACCGGGGCTCCTTCAACCCAAGTCCGGGTCACCACGGGCATCCCGCGGCTCTCCCGGACATATGGAATCCTCACTCCGCGCGGGCTCTGGGCGCGTGTGTCTGTGCGTCTGTTCGCTGGGAGGTGTCGCTGGAAATGGGGGTGGGGGGAGTGGGAAGGATGAGCTTGAGGAATAAAACACCAACTCACCCTAATTTAGAAGTCCCCCGCTTCCCCCAAGAAAAGCCCTTCCTTGCTACGCGTTGATTTCTGCCCGGAAGCCTCCTCATTCCTAAAGTGAAGGCAGAAAATAGAGCGCGCGCGCATCCCCGCTCCCGGGAATAAAGCAACCTGTGGCTGGGCTCGGCGGGGAGGAGGCGGGGAGGGAAAGAGGCAGCGAGCCGCGAGCCGCTGCGTGCCTGGGGGGCGCACGGGTGGGCTGGAGCGAGCCGCGCCTGGAGTCGGCTCCGCGGGGCGAACCCAGCAGCTTTTCTCGCTCACTGATTCTCGTCTCTGTCTCTCTCTCCGGAGGACCCCTCGAGAGCTGCGACTCTCCCTCTGGGCCATGGACTCGGACGCCAGCCTGGTGTCCAGCCGCCCGTCGTCGCCAGAGCCCGATGACCTTTTCCTCCCGGCCCGGAGCAAGGGCAGCGGCGGCGGCAGCGCTTTCACGGGGGGCACCGTGTCCTCGTCCACGCCCAGCGACTGCCCGCCCGAGCTGAGCGCTGAGCTGCGCGGCGCCATGGGCGCTGCGGGCGCGCACCCCGGGGACAAGTTGGGCGGCGGGGGCGGCGGCTTCAAGTCCTCCTCGTCCAGCACCTCGTCGTCGTCCACGTCGTCGTCGTCGTCGTCGTCGGCCGCGGCGGCCGCGTCGTCCACCAAGAAGGATAAGAAGCAGATGACGGAGCCCGAGCTGCAGCAGCTGCGCCTGAAGATCAACAGCCGCGAGCGCAAGCGCATGCACGACCTCAACATCGCCATGGACGGGCTGCGCGAGGTCATGCCCTACGCGCACGGCCCGTCGGTGCGCAAGCTGTCCAAGATCGCCACGCTGCTGCTGGCGCGCAACTACATCCTCATGCTCACCAACTCGCTGGAGGAGATGAAGCGCCTGGTGAGCGAGATCTACGGCGGTCACCACGCCGGCTTCCACCCGTCGGCCTGCGGCGGCCTGGCACACTCGGCGCCGCTGCCCGCCGCGCCCGCGCACCCCGCGGCCGCCGCCGCCGCCGCCGCCGCCGCGCACGCTGCGCACCACCCCGCCGTGCATCACCCCATCCTGCCGCCCGCCGCCGCCGCCGCCGCCGCTGCCGCCGCCGCCGCCGCCGTGTCCAGCGCCTCCCTGCCGGGCTCGGGGCTGTCCTCGGTGGGCGCCATCCGGCCCCCGCACGCGCTGCTCAAGTCCCCCGCGGCCGCGGCCGCGGCGGCGGGCGGCCCGCTAGGGGGCGGCGGCGGCGGCGGGGGCGGCGGCGGCGGCAGCGGCGGCTTCCAGCACTGGGGCGGCCTCCCCTGCCCGTGCAGCATGTGCCAGGTGCCGCCGCCGCACCACCACGTGTCGGCCATGGGCGCCGGCAGCCTGCCGCGCCTCACCTCCGACGCCAAGTGAGGCCGGCGCCGTCTGGCCAGCCGGGGCTTGCTTGGGGGTTTGCGGGTGCGCGGGGCTGAGCCGCCGCGGGACTTGGCGGGCGCCGCCGGGAGGGGGGGATGGGGAGGCTGCCGCCGACTCCCGGGGGAATCCAGAGAGACTGGGGAGCGTTGGCTCGGCCACCAGCGGGGTCCGCCCTTTCTGGCTTTAAAAACCGCGGTGGACACCTTGCCGCGTCCGGAGCCGCTGCGCGCATCACTGCCTCCCTCCGCGTCACCTCGCAGGACTCCAGGTGATTCCTAAGTCGTGGATTCCCCCACCTCCCCAGGCCTCCTAACGAACGGGGCCTTGCTCGATCCACGCTGCACTCCGTTACAAGGGGGAGAGAAGGGAGCACTGGGGGGGAGGGGTCCTCGCCCTCCTTGGTGTGCAGGAGACTTGGGGTGGGGGTGCCACTCTCTGGGCCGCGCACCCCATCCCATCCAACACACCCTTCCCCCGTGGCGCCCCCAGGTCCTGGGCCAGGGAGCGCGGGTTCCTTGGCAACTGGCATTGGGCTCCAGAGCACTTAGGGATGGTCTCAGTGACCCCCAGCAGGAGCTGGAAACGGCCCCCTCTCTTTGGACTTTTTTTGGGGGGCGGGGGGAAGTTGTGTTCTGATAGATCTGTCGTCGAAAAAAGAAAAAAAAAGAGATGGCCCTTTCTTCAACCGTTCAGGCGAACTCTCCTCGAAACGGTCAGAACAGAACCACTTGTGGATTCAGAATGACTTTGCAGAGATGTGTGGACTTGGTGGGGAGGGGGGCTGGTGGGTTTTTCAGTTGTTCAATAGTTTCTTGGGCCCTCCTGCCTTCCTCTCTAAGTAGAAAGTAATTTGGTGTCTTACCCGATGCGGGATGAAAGTCACTTTGGCACTTGAGGGTTTGGCGGAATGCTGGAGGCCCGCGTCTGTGAATATAGATTGGAGTGTTTCTTTAACTTTGTGTTTTTTGGGGGGGCGTTCTGTTGCCTTTTCATTTTTTCCTTGGATATGTAAATATAATATCAGTGATGAGGTAAGTATGCGCTGCTAAGCTGTATGCTCACGTATGCCAGCCCCCCACCCCCACCCCAGGTCTAAGTGGGTTTTCCTCCGTATTCATTTCTTTTCTTTTCTTTTTTTTTGCCACAATTAACACAAATGACAAACCCCTCCACGTGCCCCCATTGGGCCCCAGGCGCTGTGAGTTGCTTGGTGGCACCGAACACAGTAACATGCTACCCCTCTCCGCCCGGCCGACCCCTCGCACAGAGTGTATCATCTGTTTTATTTTTGTAAAAAGAAGAAAAAGTGCTAAATAATATTTATTACTTGTTTGGTTGCAAAAACGAAATAAATGATGGAGTGTTGAGATTTTACATACAAGGAAAAGTAGAATGTCCGCTGGAGGTGGCCCTGTGGGTGGCAGGCAGTGTGGGGAGCTGGGCTGCAAAAGTGGGTTCGAGATTCTTCTCTCCCTCTCACCCCCATGTTCAGACTAGCTGCCCGGGGAACATTTGGATGGTTACACTCTCCCATCCTAGGCTGGGGCCTGTTATTTTCCTACGCCCAATCCGGAAAACTCTTCCAGTCAGCAGAGACTGACTTCCTTGAAAGTGAAATTTTCCTCTTCCCCAACGGAAACTAGGGATCTTGGGAGTGAGAACCCCGGGATGTCCAGGTCACTTACCCTGCTGAAATCTAGTGTCTTCTGCCAGGGCCTTTCTTTGGTGGCTGCTTCCTGCCCTCCTCCTCCCCCTCTTACCCAGTTATTTCAGTTTCGCTTTGCATCAGCCATGCTCTCACAAACCTAGCAGGAGAGCTTCATGGGGTAGCTCACTAACATTTACCCCCTCCCAGTTTAACCCCACAGAGTTCCAGTCACCTGCCCCCCATCGTGGGGGTGTGGGGTGACACCCAAGCCTTTAACCTCCCAAGTGTCAGGTGCTGGGAAGTGCAACTCTGAGCCAACTGAGTGCCCCAGTTGGCCTCCCAGTTTGTCTGGGGTCACCTAGCTTCAGGTGGCTTCTCAAGTTCAAACTGCGACACAAATTGAGGACGGGGTTTTTCAAAGAAACTCAGATGCTGTTTTGAACAGCTTGGCCTTCCATTCAGAGGATGGGGTTGGGGGGCCGGCTATAGCGCCGTCATCTCTTAGGGCAGGAGTCCTCAGAAGCACAGAAACTGGGGCTCTCCCGGGGGCAGAAGGTGAAAGAGCTCTACAGCCGAGCTGGAACCCCATTTCTCGACGAAATCAGGCCTTGAGCAGACACTCCTTGCACAAAACCCGGGATGGCGTTTCCTTCCCCTAGCTAGGGACGCATGTGGGGAATGGGGGCCGCGCACCAGCAGGCTTGCCCGAAGATGGAGCGACCACCCAGAGATCTTAGCGCCCCCTGCATCCACGAAAAAGCGAGGCAGGCAGAATCTAGTTGCCTTCTCCCCCGAAATCCCGTTTGAAACGAAACTTACAAAAATTTTAAACGAAAAAAGGGATCAGCTGGAGTCGGCTCGCTGGAAAGCGCCGCTCGGCGAGCGGGCTGCGGGCGCGTCAGGGGGAAGCGCGCGCCGGCACAGCCGCCTTCCCGCCCCGCGAGGCTCGTGCCGGTGCCCGCTTCGGCGACGTGCATTGCGCCCGGGTAGAAATCGAGTTTTTCTCCAGCGCCCAGCCCCGGCCTCCGAGGAAGCAGAAGTTGCCTGGGTTCAGCCAGGCTGTGGCCCGCCCCCGGACCACCTGCCCAGACGGCGCGGCGCGGCGCGGCGCGGCTGGCCAGGGGAGCACGCGTCCTGGAGGTGGCACCCTGGATACCCGCTCAGAGAGCCCCTCCGGGGGTAGGGGGATCCCCGGAGCGGAGGTCCCTTTCTGCCAACAGCTGTTGGGTGCTTCTCTCCTCCCCCAGCCCCCACGTGGGCCCCAGTCCTGGAGCCTGGGGACCTCTTAGGTCATCACGTGCCTCCCGGATTCTCCCCCAGCTGTTCCCCTCCCCAAGCTGTTCCCCGCCCCCACCCAGCACCCCAGAGGCTCTCCCTGTCGGGTGTGCAAGCCCCAGGCGCTGGCCCCAGCCTTCCCGGCAGCGACAGCCCATCTGGGCGCGACCAGGATCTATCTCTGCGCTCAGCTCAGCTTGACTGAGCCGCTGGGCCAGGATGTAGGAGTGAGGGATAAGAGTTGGCTGAGGTAGCCTCAGCGCCCTTGGAGCCCAAACCTCATCTCTGTTCCTTCAGGGAATGGGCCAACCCTCAGGCCTGGGCACCTCTCCAGGGTGGCAGAGAGCAGGGATGGAAGCGGGAGGCTCTCTGGTTGTGGTGGGCCAGGAAGACCCAAACATCTGGGAAGTCAGTGGAGGATGCTGAGACTCCCCCAGAACCCCGGGCCTTCCCAGAGTGCAACTTCTGGGGCTGGCACTGTGTGCAACGGATTTCGTTCTGTTCAGGCGTTAGCCCGGATGGTGCCAGATATCAAACCCAGGGCAGGGAATCAAACCCACGGGACAGGAATCAAAACCACAGCACAAGTAGACCAGTGGTCTAGCCTACTGCCAACCCCCTAGCCCTGACACTGGATTTGAAAGCCCCTGGGGGGGGGGTCCCTTCAACCTGACCCTACCTCCCCCTTGGGCAGGATCCACCCAGCAACCCATCTGTGCTCCCACTCTTTTTGGGGGGACATACCTGTTGGTGCTCATGGCTGACTCCTGGCTCTGCGCTCATGGAGCACTGTTGGCGGGGTTTGGGGGAGCCAATGTGCTGCAGAGGATGACGTCTGGATGCGACTGTTCTCTCCTGCTTCCACTGTGAAGTAGACACGCCCCCGCGGTCCTGCTGGAAGTTTCCTGTCATTTTAAGTCCCTTCTGACAGAGACTCTGGACCAGGCCCTGTAGAGATGGAGGGGAAGATTGACAGGGATCTCACTTCAAGGAACTCATCCACCTGACTAGGGTGGGGATAAGCTTTGGGACTATCTCCACACAGGGAAGCCAGGACTGGGGAGAGGGCAGCACCCGTAGCTTGGAGGCGGGGCAGCCGAGAAGATACATCCCCTGGTCTCAGACATAAATCACCCCTTTGGCTGAGCACATAAATCACTCCTTTGGCTAAGCACGGGCTCACTCCCTCATTTACATCCCTGCTTCCTATCTCTTTCCTAGAGGCTTAGTGGGCTGAGGGAGTCTCAGGCTAGGGGGCTAATGTGGGGGGGTGCCTGGCACAGAATCATTCTCAGGGACTCACACACCCAGATGTGCTCACGGGCCTGGTTCCACATTCCTAGGGAAGCTGGGGACCTCCCAGCTGTGGCCTGTCTGGAAGCCTTGGAGATCCCATAGAGCCCTGAAGAGTGGGTAAGCCAGCAAGGGTCGACCAGAGATAAGGGGTTCCACCCCTCCCCTAATGTCTGGTGGGGGTTGCATGGGAGCAGACTGGAAGTGAGAGGTTGCTGGGAGGTGGGGTTCTTGGTGGAAGAGGCGGGCCTGGGAGGAGCAGACTCAGTATAAGGCACCCCTAAAAGTTTAAAGCAGGAAATTCATTGCATTCATTCCATGCATTGAAGGTCATGCCAGGTCATTCATTGCATTCATTCAATGGTGTAATGATCGGTCCATTGGGGGAGGGGGGATACTGAGGCACAGAGAGGGTAGGCTGGCCCAAGGAGGGAATGGTCAGCAAACAGAAGTGGTAGCCCAGATGTCTAGTTTCAGGCCCCCCACCTCTGGGAGGTCTCCCCAGGGCTGCTGTCCTGCCCTTCTCTCTCAGGGCCACACTGAGACAGCTCTGCGACCACTTGGGGAAATCCTGGAGCAGGGAACAGGGGGCGGGGGAGGGGGGGTGAAGCTCTGAGGGCTTCAGATTTCTATCTGGGACACCTTAGTCCCTGAAGCCCTAGTTTGGACAGTGTGGCATTACTCAGGCATGGCGGGGAGGGGGGCAGAGATGGTGCGAGGAGGGAACCCCTAAGGAGGTCCTAGCTGTGGGGCGTGGGATCTCTTCAAGGAAATGCAGTGA